AGTACAGATGCAGTTTTTTTTCCATTATTGATCCAAAGTTAGTTGAGTCCTTGGATGCAGAAACCACAGATATAAAATGCTGACTATACCCATCCTAAAATTCCATTTCTTGGTGTTATAGATCAGTGACACAGCCATGCATTTACAAGAACACTTAGTACAGCACTGTTTATACTAATGAATAAGCGGAACCATCTCCAATGTTCAACAAGAGGAGAAAGGTTAAATATGATGTGATTATATTCTGCGAAATACTATGCAGTGGTTAAAAAGACAAGTTAGTACAAGTGTACTGATAGAGCAACATGTTGTCACATAAAACAGTAAGTTGTAGAACATGACATACCATTTAAACTATAATGCCACACAGTGTGTGTGTAGTATACATGTATGTGTGTGTATCTCTCTCTCTCTCTCTCTCTCTCTCTCTCTCTCTCTGTCTCTACACACACACACACACACACACACACACACACAAATTGCACAAGAAAAAACATAAGATTCAGCTGAGGAGTTAAGTAGGAAAGGGGCCAGAATTAGTGACCACAGTCCAAGAAGATTTTGGATTTATCCATGTTTTCATAAAAATGGCCAATCATGATGCAGTATTTACGTATTATTTACATTGTCAGAATTTTATTAAACCTTTTAAAAAGATCAGCACACACTGTGAGAAATGTGGTGCTGGCTCCCACAGACATGTTGTGACCCATGCTGGCTTAGCTCTGCAGGAAGCAGGGCTCTGCTCTGCCCTTCTGCCCAGTTGGGAAAGGCCTGGGATCAGTCCAGAAGAACTGGATTCTTTGGGTACTTTCTTTGGAAAGAAAAAGAAAACAACCTCAAACTGAAGTCAGCAGAAGAGAACCTCACCTTTGTTCCTGTACTTGGAGGGAAGCAGGCCCCTGCGCCTGGCCAGGGCAGCCACACAAGCAGGCCTGAGGCCCCAGGGCTGTCCTGGGTGTCCACAGCAGAGCTCTCTGGGCAGCCACTGCCCCTCCTCCAGTGTTGGCGGACAGTTGGTGGGTTACGGAGTCCCCATGGTAAAGTGGCTCTAGCCTTGGGAAGACAGGAGACCCTGGACCTCAGATGGTTGTGACCCACCCTATGAGGGGCCTATTAAATACCACAGGTACATGGGTTCACCATGGAGTTCTGGGTTTGCTGGTTTGTAGGTTTGGTTTTGTTTTTGATGGTTTATCCTGTGGTGCTGGGGACAGACCCAGGGTCTGTGCACGCAGTGTTAGTGCTCAGCAACTTCCAGGCCCAACGTTTTTAATGCAAACTTGGCAAGAAATGGTGAAAATCTTAACATCCATTTTAGAATTCCAAGGCACTCTTGCCTTTAACCTCATTGGAGAACACTTGTCCTGACCACCGAGGCTCCCTGGGCTGTGTCCTGACCACCCTGGGCTCCTGCAGTCTTGCTCTCCAACAGCCCCGCCCCACCCCCACCTGAGGCTCCAGCTTCAAGTGGGGCCATGGTGGGCGGGGACAGGTGGCTTTTTTTTTTTTTTTAAAGAGAGAGAGAGAGAATTTTTTTTTTAATATTTATTTTTTAGTTTTCGGCGGACACAACATCTTTGTTTTGTATGTGGTGCTGAGGATCGAACCCGGGCCGCACGCATGCCAGGCGAGCGCGCTACCGCTTGAGCCACATCCCCAGCCCCACAGGTGGCTTTTTAATTCCTCCCATTAGCGTTATGGGTACACTCCTCAGGATGCGTCTGACCTCAGACTACGGGCTTGTCCCTCACAAGTGACTGACCCACTCAGAATGACAGAGTGGCCTCCTCTCTTTCCCATCAGGGCTGTAGGACAGTGCCCTGGCCTCCTGCAGGAACCTCCCACACCATGCCCTTGCCAGTCCCGGGCTTCTGTGTGAGTGGCTCCTGCCACTCCCACAGCCCTGGCCTTTCTGACCACTAGCACAACCACAGGGACCCCAGTCTCTCTTTCCTAACTGCCATACCAATCTCCTTAGTCAGCAGATGGGAAAGAGTCATTTTAGTTGACCACAACCAAGGCCCCCCACTCTTGTGGATATTCACTCCAAGTTTTTGCTGTCACCCAGCCTGTGGCCAAGGGACAAAAGTTTCCTCCTGAGTATTGCAAATATTCTTTGTCTTGATCTGTTTCTAAAAATAAAAATTCTATGAGTCGTACACTGAAGATGTGTAGACTTAACCAGGCAGGCTTTATTCTGCAACACAATGGTTTTTCATTTTAAAAAGTCTACAGGTGCTTCCCATGAGTGAGACCAGCTAGGAGCCCAAGGCAGGAACCTCTAGTGCTGTCCCTGGGACTAGCCTCCTGGAGAACAGGGCTGGGCAGAAGTGCCAGAGAATGGATTGGGTGGGAAATAACTGGTGTGACGCTCAGGAGAAGTCAGCTGAATGGGCTAGTTTATGTAAATGACGTGGGTGGGGAAGGAACTTGTCAGTGACAGGAATGAGGACCTGCTAGAAAGGTACCTTCCCTCACAGGCGCATAGGTGGGGCAGGCAGGGCCAGCCTCCTGCTCTTGGGAGCACAATGAGCTCCCTGCCATCTTCTCCCTCCCCATACACCCTCACCCTGCCCACATTCCCCCTTGAGAGCAGCAGATGTGCACAGGCCTGGCCCCTCTCCGAGCATCAGGCCACCTGTCTGTCTGACTGTGGGGCAGGCTCTTGAGTTTCGACAGTTGCCACTTTCACCCCAGACTTGCCCCCATCCTGGGTTTCTCATCTCCAGAAGGTATCTCTGTCTCTCCAGCCACCAAACTGAGCACACCAGCATCCACTTTGGATGTTCTCTTTTGTCTTCCCAACGTCCTGCCCATTGTCAGTGCCCGGAGTTCGCCTGGAATCTCTCACTTGGATCACCTACAGATGCCCCCTGCCTGGTCCAGCCGCCCTGCCACCCAGCATGGTCTTCTTCTCCCATCCAGGTCTGGGTCATTGGTGCATGAGCATCCTCCAAGACCTTGACCTCCACTGCTCTGGACCAGGTAGAATGTACCCTCACCCCAGACTGTGGGCACTGCCTTGGCATTCAGGTCAATCAGTGTGGATGGTTGGGAAGCTCAACAGCAGATTGAGTATTGGATGTTTTTAGGATGTCGTTTTAACCTTGTTAGGAGTGATCGTGCCACTAGAACTAGCTATGAGAACTTCTTTTTTTTTTCTTTCTTCCAGAAATTCAAGTTAAAGGATCTAAAATGAAGGGATTCAAATAAAAATATAAACAACAAGCAAATATGTCAAAGTGTTAGTAGTAGGTGGATCCTGGGGCTGGGTATGAGGGTGCTCATGGTTGGGTTCTTTATATATTTCTCTATATTTGAATTTCTTCACAAGAAGTTCTTTTTACAAAGTCGAGTCAAATGATTGGACCCTGGGCTGGGGAGGTGGCTCAAGCGGTAGCGCGCTCGCCTGGCATGAGTGCGGCCTGGGTTCGATCCTCAGCACCACATACAAACAAAGATGTTGTGTCCGCCGAAAACTAAAAAATAAATATTAAAAAATTCTCTCTCGCAAAAAAAAAAAAAAAAATTCTCTCTTTCTCTCTTTTTTTTTTTTTAAGTAAGACTCATTAGCATTTTTTTTTAGTTGTAGATGGGACACAATATCTTTATTTATTTAGTTTTTTTTTTTTTAAAGAGAGAGTGAGAGAGATAGAGGTAGAGAGAGAGAGAATTTTAATATTTATTTTTTAGTATTTGGCGGACACAACATCTTTGTTTGTATGTGGTGCTGAGAATCGAACCCGGCCGCACGCATGCCAGGCGAGCGCGCTACCGCTTGAGCCACATCCCCAGCCCCTCTTTCTCTCTCTTTAAAAAAAAAAAAAATTGATTGGACCCATTTTCCCATCCACCAAATTGCAGGTGTCAGTGGGAGGCACAGCGAAGGGTCGGTCTCTTCAGCCTGTATCCAGCCAATCCAGGCCCAGAGCACTAGGCCAGAAATGCCCCTCTGTAAGCCTGGGGCCAGGGTTGTCCCAGAGAAATTGCTCTGGCTTTGACATTCCTGCAAGTCACTGAGGTTGGTAACAAGGATAACCCTAAAGGGGGAGAAGCAATTGTTTCAGTAAAGCCAAACAGAGGGAAGCAGATGGGTACTGAGGTCACAGGGCCACAAGCAAGAAGTAGGTTCTAGCAGTCCCTGTCCCAGAAAGTTTAAGTTTTTACTTCCCCACCTGTTAATGTGCCCAAGAGACCTGGGCTTCAATTTTGTAGAAAGAGCCCGGGGTTCCCCCACCTTCTTTGGGGGTGTGAAGCACACCTCTGCGCACCATGACACAGATACAGTGTGGAAGGGGGTGCACAGAGATCCCTCTGGGCCCTGGTCAGTTTGTTCTTTCCTTCCTACTCTCAGAGGCTCCCTTACCTATGGCTTAAGGATGGTCGTTGGCCTTACCCCTCCATTCTGGATGCCCTTCTCACTGTCCCTTAATGCCCTGGCACACCTGTGAAGGCAACTAGCCTGGAAGAAAGCCAAAGCACTTCCAAGAACCTGTAGGGCTGCGGTCCTGGATCTGCCTCAACTTCCTCACCTCTACAAGGAAACAGCTGTCTCGCTGGCTGGCCGGGAGCGCGACCTCAGGGATTCCAGCCCTGGACGTATCCCACCACCAGGCCGCTGCGCCTTGCACCCGCGACCTGGGTTTAAAATCAACACACCTGCCTTTTCACAGCCCAAGCGATGCGGCAGACACTGGCTCCCAAACCCCCAGGAGTGCAAAACCAACACAGGCTGGCAAATGGCCAGTGCGAGGCCAGCGGAGTATCTAGCTTAAGGGTCCTGGGCACAGGGCTCTGCAGCCAGAGGGGCAGAAGAGGCATGGACCCGGGCCCCAGGCGCAGGATTCCGAGGCCACCGCAGACTTGATGAGCTGAAAGCCCAAAGCCAAGGGCCCGGGTGGGCGGGGCCAGGCGTGGCTCGGGACGGGGAGGGGCGGGGCCGAGGCAGCGCTTAAAGAGACGGGAGCGGGTCGGGCGAGACTGGTGAGGACTGCGCCATGGAGACCGCTCGGGATTACGCGGGAACCCTGATCAGGCGAGTGCCACACACCCATGCGCCCCGCGTTCCCGCGCCTCCTTTCCTCCTGCTTCCCTGTGTTCCCCGCAGCCGCTATCCCTCGCCCAATGGCCCCGATGATGCCCACAGGCCCGAGCCGTCCCGGGTCTCCTCCTCCAACTGGCTCAGTGGGTGCCAGGTATGGCTCCCGAGGTGCGCGGGCGTCCACGGATCAGGTGACAGTGGGGAGTGCGGGAGTTGTTGCAGCCGGGGGTGCTAACGACGTCCGGGTCCCAGGAGCCCCGGGCGACAACTCCACGGTGTGCTGGCACAAGGTTCCTCAGGGGCTGGGATCGGACCCTAACTGGGGCAAGGGGGGTCCAGGTACAGCGCGCGATCTGACCTCCTGGGGAGGCTGAACCGTCCTGGGCGCGTCGGGGCCCTGGCCTCCTCCCGCAGACTCTCCCAGGTGTGTGAGGTGCAGTTTGCGGGAGGCATTTCTCCCACTCTGGTCCGAAGGCTCCGGCTTGAAGGTGCAGCCAGCACTTTTTCTCTGTTGGGTTTATCTTCTTGTCCTGATAGAACAATCCAATCCTCGATAAAATCCTAGTCGTCGCAGTGGCGGTGTTTCTTTAAAAATCATCCAAATATTTGAAAAACGGAGAAACCCCTGAGCTCTTTAAAACATAGGTTTTTATTGGTGACAGATGCCATTGTGTATCTTAAGGGTGTGGAGGGAGACAAGGAGGGTGGAAAAGAGGGAGATCTGATTACAGGGACCATCCAGGAGCTTGGGGAGCTGCACAAATGCTCAGGGTTAGAAGCAGCTGCCAAAATGGAAAGGTGGCCTCTCTGGCTGGCATCCGATGTCTGTCACACAACTTGTCCTATCGGTAGGACTCCAGGAAGATTAGAAAGACTCTTCCTCTATCTCCACCAACACTTAAGAAACAAGTTTATTCTTTAATGTACAGCAAGCTCTAAGACAGCTCTTCATTTCTAGCTGTAGGGAATCCCAGGGTCTGGGAGTGGAATCAGGGTCACCCAGGTCTTGGGCACACAGCTCACCTTTGCCTGATTTTGACACCTGTGGCCCTCCTCAGACACCTTCTATTTTAGCTCCTGGAGTTTCTTCTCTTACTTTTGTTTCTGCTTGAAGGCTTGACCTTCTTCGCCCATCTCCTTGGCTCACTTCTTGGGCAGTGTCAGGACTTCTTTTCACCTTCACAGTGGGACCTGGAACCTGCCTTCACCATGACACTTTTTTGTTGTTGTTGTTACTGGGTATTGAACTCAGGAACACTCTACCACTGAGCTCTATTTTTAATTTTGAGACAGGATCCCCCTAATTTGTTGATGCTGGTCTCAACCTCCCACTCCCTGGGATTAGAAGGGTGGGCCAAGGCACGTGGCTTGATAAAACACTTTTAAGCACAAAGATAAGGCCTTGTTTCTTTCCTGATTTTCTTTAAGCTCTGCCCACCCCACAGTCCCATCCCTAGGAGGAAAGGACTGAATAGTTTGAAGTACAAACATCTCTTCTTCAGCCTCCTCAGGAGCACTGAGGAATGAGTAGGTGGCTGAGGGCTTAAGGTGGCCAGAGTGCACCGATCTATCCGGGTTTGCCTCAGAGTGGGAGGAATTAAGAATTAGGTTAAACCTGCATCTGAACATTACAACATTTAAGGAAATCCAGGATGTACCTGTGGAAGGTCTCTGTGGGGTCAAGTGTGAGGCTTGCTGAAGACATATTGGTAATCAAAACACAATGAGCCAGGCATGGTGGTGCACACCTGTAATCCCAGTGTCTTGGGAAGCTCAGGCAGGAGGATAGCAGGTTCAAGGACAGCCTCAACAACTTAGTGAGACCCTGTTTCAAAATAAAAAGGGCTGAGATGTGGCTCAGTGGTTAAGCATCTCTGGGTTCAGTCCCCACCCCCCCCCCCCCCAAAAAAAATAACCCCACAATGAAATATTTGATCTTTTTTTTTTTTTTTTTAAGTTTATTCATATATTTAAAATAAACACAAGATTTATTATTCCTGTGGGATTTCATCTTTCAGGGTTGGTGGTTTTATATGATTAGTCCTTTTCTTTCTTTCTTTTTTTTTTAAAGAGAGAGAGAAATAATTTTTTAATATTTATTTTTTAGTTATCGGCAAACACAACATCTTTCTTTGTATGTGGTGCTGAGGATCGAACCTGGGCCGCACCCATGCCAGGCGAGCGCGCTACTGCTTGAGCCACATCCCCAGCCCCTTCTTTTTTTTTTTAATTTTTATTATTAGTTGTTCAAAACATTAAATAGTTCTTGACATATCATATTTCATACATTTGATTCAAGTGGGTTATGAACTCCCATTTTTACCCCGTATACAGATTGCAGAATCACATTGGTTACACATCCACTTTTTTTACATATTGCCATACTAGTGTCTGTTGTGTTCTGTTGCCTTTCCTATCCTCTACTATCCCCCCTCCCCTCTGAAATATTTGATCTTTTAAGACATTCTCCATCCAGATTGGCAAGTTTAAGGGTGAGTATTTGTTGGGGACAAACTGTTTTTGTAGGGTTTTTTGGCACCAGGGATTAAATTCAGGGGCACTCGACCACTGAGCCACATCCCCAGCGCTACTTTGTATTTTATTTAGAGACAGGGTCTCACTGAATTGCTTGGTGCCTCACAGTTGCTGAGGCTGGCTTTGAACTGGTGATCCTCCTGCCTCAGCCTCCCCAGCTTCTGGGATTATAGGCATGCGATACCACACCTGGCTTGTTTTTGCTTTTTTTTTTTTTGGAAAGCTATAGGCTTGAAATTCTTTGGAATCTATCTGATTCAAACTAAACTGGAAGAAAGCAATCTGTAACACTTGTTGAAGGGCAGATAATTTCTATTTCCCCACCCCTCTTTAAAATTCTGTCTAGACTAAACAGCCAAAACCAAGGTTATATTTGTTAATTATGGTCTTCCTGGATTTCTGCCTCCTGCCAGTGATCCTTCTTTTAAATTGCCTGGTGCAGCATGCTGTAACTGTCATTTATTAGTAAATAACTGCTTTTTCTAGGGAAGTAACTTAATCAATGCACACATTTTTTTTACAAATAAGGTACTTATAGAGCTGGGGATGCAGCTCAGTGATAGAGCACTGGCCTAGCAAGTAGAAGGCCCTGGGTTGGATCCCCAGGACTGCAAAAAGAAAAAAGGTACTTCTCAGTAATTGCAAGTTCCCTGGCTGTCATTAGTCTGCTGATCAGCTGTAGTTGTTGCAGGCCTCACTGTGAGGTCTCTGAGCCAAGCTTTGGATAACAGAGGTCTTCACCAGGTCACGCCAGATCCTGAGCTTGTTATGAAGCTGACACATACCATACTTTGCTCAGAATGGCTGCTACTGTGACTATTTAGAACATCTTCAGTGTCCACAGGCCCTGGGTTCCACCCCCAGAACTGCAAAAAGAAAAAACAAGAAAGTTAGACCTCTTGCCCTCTGAAAGGAACTCTAGAATTCATACAGCCGCTGCTACTTCAGTAAGCGTGTTACCCAGTCTTCCCAGTGACGTTAATAAAGAATTAAGTTTTCTCCAAGCAAATCTCACAGCAGAGAGCTGGCACCTAAATTCTTATTTAGTAATATTTCAAGGTGCTCAGGCCTCCTCTGCCCTGTCTTAAATACCCCTGTGATGCCAAGGATTGGGGTAGTTTGGTAAGAACGTGGCCTTGAGCCAGGGTGAGTCCATGGGAAGGAGCTGGGCAGGCGTGTTCCGATCTGTGCGTGATCTGAGCCTGGCGAGCCTGATGGCAGTTCACCATCCCGACCCTTGCTCCACTGCCACTGGCGCCTTGGATACTGTCCCCAGGGCACACAGACACCTCCCAGGAGCTGTCTGAGCCCTGTCTGTCTTCCCTGTGTGAGTGCACTTGCCCTCACCGCTTCTCTCCTTGGTTGGCATCCCTGCTCACCCCTGCAGTCCTGTTGGCCCCGTCTGGCATATGGGTCCCTCCTCTCCACATAACCCTGAGATGTGGTGTTGCCCCAGTCACATTGCATCCCAAGTGATCCTGGGTGACATCTTACCCAGCTTGGGCTGCTCCCTTATCACCAGGGACACCAAATACAGGCAGCCCTCCACACCCACCAGTGGGTGCCACATCCTAAGGTCTAATGACAGAAAAAAGTATTTTAATAATTGCATCTGGGGGCTGGGGCTGTAGCTCATGGTGGAGCGCTTGTCTCACACTTATGAGGCCCTGGGATCGATCCTCAGCATCACATAAAAATACTTAAAATAAAGATATTGTGTCCAACTACAACTAAAAATGGTATTTAAAACTGCATCTGGACTGAACATGCACAGATTTCCTTATAATTATCCCTTAAACATTGCAGGATAACAAATATCAACATAGAATTCACAGTGTATTAGGCATGATAAGTGATCTAGAGATGATTTAAGGTGTAATCAAAGGATGGGCAGCTATGATGTCCTTTCATACAAAGGACTTGGGTGTCCTTGGATTCTGGTCTCTGGGGACCTAGACCAACCCATGAGGATACTGTGGGACAACTGTATTTTTCTCCTACGCACACCTTGACCTGGGCCCTCCTTCCCCAGCACCTTCAGAGGGAGGCCAGCACACAGCGTGGCACATGAAAAAAGCTTAGACCAGGGGCAGGCCTGCCTTGCTGGAGTCCACTCACATCTTCTGTCACTCTGTGTCTCGGTCACTGAATGTCACATTTTTATAAGTTGGCGACTCCCTGCTTCCCTCAGGGAAAATGCAGGCTTCCTTCTGCCCCTCACCCAGGAGATGGGCCTTCACACAGTTTAGAAGAGCTTTCCACGAAGCCTGACTTCTGTTACCCTCTTGATTTCCCCGAAATAACCTATTTCCTGAAATGGTTCCTTATTATTTTTCCTTTTCCCTTGAGACGACCTGTTACTTATTTTCCCTTGTGTGAGCTGTTCCCCCCCCCCCTGGTTCCTGGGACTGTCAGGAGCCACTCTCCCAGGAACCAGGGAGTGGCTGTTCTCATGGTGGTGGGCAGACGCAGGATTCCCATTGTCCTGTGTCTTGGTTTTTGGTGGCACTGGGATTGAGCCTCTGGCCCTGCACATGCTCCACCACTGAGCTGTGTTCGAGTCTCGGTGGTTCTATTTTCATTTTGACAAATTAAAACACAGGGGTGTGGTGGAAATAGCGACTCTGTTAGGCATTGTAATAATGGCCAGTGACATCGACTGCCCTGTATTTTCGGTAGCCAGAAGGCAGCTGGGTCAGTGTGTTGCCTGTTTGTCTAGTGGTGTGGCACGGTGGATCTTTAGCTGGAATAGCGTCAGTGCCCGTGGGTGCCTGTTAGGCGGGTTTGGTGTGCGTGAAGGTCATTTAACCCCTTTGTGCGTCACACACAGGAGAGTCCTGGTCTCATCTAATCTGACTCCGCCAGCCTTGGGAAGAATGCGGGATTCCATTTTCATGTCCTCAGTGGCATTTTCTGTTCTCCTGGGGTCTGTTCTCCAGCAGTGAGCCAGTTCTGGGGTAGGAAGTATTACAGGGAAGAAGAGCAAGGATTGTATGTCCTTTTATTTAATCAGCATGGTCATCCCCAGGGCAGGGAAGGCAGGGAGGACCACATGTGGTTGCCAGCACTGGGCAAAGACAATAGGGACATTGAGTTCCTCAGCTGCGTTGTCCCTGCAGTGTGGGTGTCACAAGGAGGCAAGACTGGGCCCCAGCTAACTAGGCCACAGGTGTGCCCTTGGCCACCAGGGGGTGGGCCTGCCTGTCTCCGACTTTGTCCCTATCTGGGCTAGGTGCTGTAGGAAGGTAGGAAATGGCCTGGCAGGCCTGGCCTCTGAGGACAGACCCTGGAAGCCCAGGGGTGGCAGCAGTGACTTCTGGCTCTGGGGGAGAAGGCGGGCCTTGCAGGTGGAGTCCAGGGTCCCCTTCTCTGGAAGGGCTTCACCCAGTGGGCAGCAGCACTTTAGCATAGTCGGGGCTGGATCTAGAGCTCCATTCTGTGTTTGCTGCTCTGACCTCGACCTCCTTACCTGGTAGCCCGAGCCTCCGAGTCGTGGTTAGGTTGAGGACAAAGCCAGGTTCTGAGGGAAGGGTGAGGGGGTCATCCCCCTGGCCTGCTCCCTAGGTCACCCGAGACGAGGAAGTGTCCTGTTGGATCAGCAGCTGTGTCTCCTGCATTGCATTGCGTAACGGACACCCGTGCAACTCCTCCAAATCGAGGCGAGAGGTGAGAGGCCGAGGGCCGGGCCCTGCTGCCCCGGTGTGGGTGCCTGCTCAAGCTCATGGGTCAGCCTGACGAGGGCCCTGGTCCAGGGGCACCTTCCTGTTGGCTTTGCTCTCTGGACGCATTGTACAGCCACTGTACCTGGAAGGAAAGGGAGTTGCGGCTGCAAAGCGGAAACACTGGTGTACCCTAGAGCAGGTCTGCTCAGGGTGTGCTGTGACAAGACCTACCCCCCGCCCCCACCAAAGAGGAAAGAAGCTTGACTGTGGACAGAGGAGGCACCCTGTTCTGTCTGCCCCTTTCCCTTATTATCCAGGTGCCCTGGAAGCTACTCTGACCCTCAGTTTTCTCATCTGTGAGATGGGATGACCCTTTCCTTCTATGGGCACGGTGATAACTCATTAGTATGACTAACGAGCGCTAGGGTGTTGCTGGCCATAGCAAGTACACAGGGGCAAGTAGTAACGAGGACTGTGGCACTGGCTGAGTACACTCAGAACAAACACTACCCTCCTGACTCCAGAAGGCCAGTTTGTTGGCAAGACACAGAGATAAGGACAAACTCACACTATTATGGAGAACCTCCTGAAGGGGCCGATGGGGCTCCGTGCAGGAACTCAACCTGGCAGTTTCTGAGAGTCGGTTTATTACCATACACTGGGTTTTCACCCACAAAGTCCTCGGTAGGTCATCAGCAGAGCTTCAAGTCAGACAACCTGTGATTTAAAGCGTGTGTTCTTAGCACTAAGTTAGGCATCATAGGAAATATGAAAAAGAAGCCTTTGTCCATGAGCAATGCCAGTCTAGCCCGGGAAACAAGCACGGGTACCGTGTAAAGTGCTACCTTATGGGTGACGAGCGTTGGCAGCCAGTGCAGGTGTCCCAGGATTTGGGCCTCAGAGAGTTAATCTAGGCAAATTTGTAAGGGTTAGGAAGCAGCAAAGTGGTCACTTTATATCATCTACAATATTGTCCTAAAAATAAAGCCTGTGTTTTGTTTTTCCAAATGTACCCAGATGAGTGTTTGTCCAAATATCTAGCCACTATTTGGTCACCCAAAGTGGGTGGGCACAGCTGGGACACTGATGGACACTGATGCTGGAGCCCAGGGCTGTGACTCAGTGCAGACATACTGGCCACGTGCAGGACCCTGGGCTGCATCCCAGCTCAGCAGCCCCCAGCCGCCTAAAGCCAGTGACAGAGAAGAATCACGCTGCATGTGTGGCATGGAAGAGCTTTAGCCTAGCTTAGTGTTAGGCACATAGTTTTAATTCTTTGGAAAATGTGGCGCTTACTCCAGAGTGTCATGTGACACAGGGCCTGAAGATCTTGTTCTTCCAAAGAAAGTTATGATTGTGGCTGTGCTGTTCTTGGCTGTGCTGTTCTTGGTTTATCCTAAGTTGACTTCAAAAACTTGGTCGATTGCTACAGTGACTGATATCTGTATCTTAAACATTTCTGGTATAGTCTTATTATGCAAACATGTGACTCTGTGTGTGTGTGTGTGTGTGTGTGCGCGCGCGCGCGCACTTAATCCTCTAACTCTGCTTAATTACTTTGTGGCTGCTAGGAATTGTTTTTGTTGGATTTTTTTTAGCTCTGAAATCTATTCATATTTGTTAAATGTAATTTCTTTTTAATTTGATGGCCTTAACATGCTTCTTAAGCCATTACCTCATAGACTTTCAACATTCTGGAAAAATAGGTCAACATTCTGGAAAAATAGGAATAAAGATGAAACTGTTTTTTAAATTGGCATATTACTTGTTTCTTCCTTGGAGATGTATGTGTAATTTTTAGTAACTTGCAACCATTGAATTTCTTTCTTTTTTTTTAAATATTTATTTTTTAGTTGTAGTTGGACACAATATCTTTTTTTTATTATTATTATTTTGTGGTGTTGGGGATTGAACCCAGGGCCTCGCCTGTGCTAGGCGAGCTCTCTACTCCTGAGCCCCAGCCCCAGCCTGAATTTCTTTCTTTTAGTTGCAAATACTACAAGTGCATTTTCTTTCTTTTTTTAGAGAGTGAGAGAGAGAGAGAGAGAGAGAGAGTTTTTTTTTTTTTTAATATTTATTTTTTTTAGTTTTTGGCAGACACAACATCTTTGTTTGTATGTGGTGCTGAGGATCGAACCTGGGCCACACGCATGCCAGGCGAGCGCGCTACCGCTGGAGCCACATCCCCAGCCCTACAAGTGCATTTTCTATATGTACTTCAAACCTCTACTAAAGCCATTTGTAGTGGTACATGTCTGTATCCCCAGCTACTCAGGAGGTTGAGGCAGGAGGATCACAAATTGGAGGCCAGCCTGAGCAGCTTAGTGAGGGCTTCTTTGAAGATCCAAAGGACTGGGGATGCAGCTCAGTGGTAGAGTACCACTGGGTTCAATCCCCAGTGCCACACACATACACACAAAGCAATGTCAAAATCGTTTTCTTTTCGCCTCCACTTTCAGGCCCCTGACATTTATGGGATCACAGACCAAGAAGGTCCTGCTAACGCCCCTCATGCACCCAGCTCGCCCTTTCCGGGTCTCCAATCATGACCGAAGCAGCCGGCGTGGGGTGATGGCCAGCAGCCTAAAGGAGCTCATCAGCAAGGTATCATGCGCCACAGCCACTCATGCCAGTCCAGAGAGGTACCCTCGACCAGCTTGGGGCCAAGGACATGGTGCCACACAATGCCAAGACAGAAAGGTTGAGAAAGACCTCCTGTCCAGCTTGGCAGCCCCTCTCAGCCTCGAGAGTCTGAGGGAGCTGTTTCTAAGTGGATAGGACAGGTCCAGATCGTCAGACGGGCGATGACCGTCTCTGCACCAGGAAAGGTGAGGACACAGAAACTCAGAAGCTGCTGCGTTGACAAAGCGGCCTTGTTTCTTTGATGAGGGAGAATCCAGGGACTCAGGGAGTCTGAGTTTAGGTATAAAAGCCAGGACAGACTAGTCCTTAATTAAAACACTGACCTAGAGCTCCAAGTAAGGAAGAATCCCAGACTCCCAGCAAGTGTACCTCTAAGATGTCCGTGAGATGTTAAAGGAGCAGCTTCCAAAGCAAGGTTTAGCCCTCGGGCCACCTGGGGCTACAGTTCTTCACACATGCTCTGCCTGTCCCTCCAAATATCACTCGGTGGCCATTGATCATACACTTTCAGTGTGATCGCTTATCCTGTGTCTCTTAGGAAGATGGTACCATTTAAATCTTAGTCTCTTTCTCAAAACAAAGACTGACTCATGGACCTCAGTCAATACATCTCTTTGCCATTACAATTTTATCTTAGCCAGGCCTGTGCACAGGGGCATGTGACTATGGTGTGGGCTACTCAGGAGGCTGAAGTAGGGGGATTGTCTGAGCCAAGGAGTTTGGGGCCAACCTGGGAACACAGCCAGCACTGTGTTCCCATCTCAAGAAAAATCACTTTATTCAAATCAGCCAACTCTTCTGAAAACTATGACATCACAAATGTCATTGGGTGGTCCAACGGGAATGTCCACTCCATGCCGTTTCTCTACCTCGCTGCCACCTAGACTCTGGATGCCCTGGTCATCACGGCTGGGCTGGTCACGCTGGTGCTGGAGGAGGATGGCACGGTGGTGGACTCCGAGGAGTTCTTCCAGACCCTGGGAGACAACACACACTTCATGATCTTGGAGAAAGGACAGAAGTGGACGCAGGTAAGCCGTGACCCTGTCGTCTGGACAGCTCCAGTGGGCTTGCCCCTACCCTGGTACTAACTTGCACTCCTTTTGATGCGCTGGGTTCTGTCTGCTAAGTGAATCCACTGCCCTCAAAGGGTTCCTATGTGCCCCTGGGAAACTTGGGTTCGGTATTTAATTTTAAAATGTAATTCCAAGGAACAGGCTTTGGCCAGTGAATAGCTACAGACCCTTCTAAAGCAACAGATGTGACCTGGTGACTGTGGATGGCCTAGTCCCCAGGAAGCAAGACACACTGACACAGCCAACTAAATGTCACAGTATCCATGATGATTACTTTATAAAAAGGGAGGTTTGACTTGGAGGCCAAGTTCATGACTTATTAGCCTCATTCCTCTGGACAAATGAAAGGGCAAACCTGCTTCCGTCACCAGCCAGAGGGCAAAGAGAGCAGAGAGGAGCAGGTCTCAAGTCCCCCTCAAGGGCACACCCCCGGTGACCTAAGGGCCTCTCCCAAGGCCCCACCACCTCAATAGCGCCACCCTGAGGACCAAGTATTTAACATAAGGGCCTTTGGGAGACGATCAAGGTCCAAACTATAGCAGCACGGATAGAGAGATTTGGCAAAGTGAGCCACAAAGGAAGCCTTTTATTTCTGGAAGCACCATAAATTATATATCTCAAGAACAATGAAATAGAAAGCAAAATATTAAAACATCTTCAAAATATTAAAACATCTAACTGACCTTCAAAAGGAGAAATAAAGGGGCTGAGGCTGTAGCTCAGTGGTAGAGCACTTGTCTTGCATGTATGTTGAGGCATTGGTTCCATCCTCAGCACATAAAAATAAATGAAGCTATTGTGTCCACCTACAACTAAAAATATGTATTTTAAAAAAAAGAGAGAGAGAGAGAAATAAAGCTGGGCATAGTGACCGGCACCCATGGTCCCAGCACTTGGAAAGCTGAGCAGGGGGGTCATTGAGCCCAGGAGTTCAAGGCCAGCTTGGGCAACAGAGCAAACCCTGTCTCAAAACAAAAACCAAAAACAAAAAAACTCAGAGGCCAACATGTTTGGGAGCCAGAATCTAGAGAAGACAGAAACCACTGCAGCTGGTCCCCCCAGGACACGCCCCCCCCTTCCCGTGGGCCTCCCCACTGGGGGTCCATTGACCTCGGGGATCAGGCGCTTTAGTTTGAACAGATGCTGGGAGGACAGAAGAGAAAGACTGGGACTGACCCAAAGAGAGGTGAGATGTGCATGGCCACTTGAAGCAGGGTGTCGTGAGGGTCTCTCCTGACCATCCGTGGCCTCATGTTGCCCTCATAAGTGTTTAGGCCCTGCTGGTCCTGACCACTCCAGCCAAGAGCTGGGAGGAGGCCCAGATGGCCAGAGCTTAGTCACTGGATCGTCTATGCAGCGAGTCCCTCCTGAGCCCCAGTGCTGGTTCCCAAGGTAATCAGCGGGAACAAATGGAAGGAAGGTTGACCCAGGCTGAAAAGTTCTAGTAAGGGAGCTCACCACTCAAGCACAAAGCACAGGACAGAGCACTGTGCATCCACATGGGCGAGGCTTCCCTAGCATGCTGGGCTGTGGGCCCCTTCCCCAGCACCGCAGGGAAAAAATGAGCAGAAATGATGAAGTCACAACTACCAAGACCTCAAAGCTGCATTCCTAACACACAATGTATAACATTGTGTATTTAAAACTCTCCACCAGGTGCTGGGGCTGTAGCTCAGCGGTAGAATGCTCGCCTAGCATGTTCAAGATGCTGGGTTCAATCCTCAGCACCACATAAAAATTAAATAAATAAAATAAAGGTATTGTGTCCAACTACAAATAAAAACAATATTTAAAAAATAAAATAAAATAAAACTCTCCACCAGACCCAGTGGTGCACATCTGTAATCTCAGTGACTTGGGAGGCTGAAGGAGGAGGATCACAAGTTAGAGGCCAGACTGGACAACTCAACAAGACCCTGTCTCAAAAAGAACTAGGGATGTAGCTCAGTGGTTGGTAAAACTTCCTTGAGTTGAATCCCCAGTAACACAAAAAAAGAAATAAAAGTAAAACTTTCCAAAACAGTTAAAAGATAACCCAAAGTAACAAAGAATAAGAGGTAATCAGAAAAGGCCAGGCACGACGGTGCATCCCTATGATTCCAGCTACCTGGGAGGCTGAGGCAGGAGAATCAAAAGTTCAAGGCCAGCCTCAGCAACTTAGAGAGACCCTGCCTCAAAATAAAAAATAAAAAGGGCTGGGATGTGGCTCAGTGGTTAAGCACCCCAGGTTCAGTCCCCAATACTGCAAAAAACAGAAAGAAACATATTGTTTTAGAGCCACTATAAAGGAAATTAAACAACAGGCCACAAAGAGGAGGAGGTGGAGGTGTTGTTAACAAGACCCAACAGAGGATGATGATTCAGCAAATGTGAGGAACTCACGTAAAACAATTGTGCAAACAACCAACCATCCAGTTGCACCACTGTAAGGTCATACTGCCAACTTTGGTACTAGACTGTTAAATTTTTTTCCCCGTTTTTTAAGATATGGGCAGCAAGTGCTCCTATACTGCCACCCACCGGTGTTACAAAGAATTTGCCTTGATCCCATAGAGGGGAGGCTCCGTCCAGGACGCAGGAACTCCATCCCTAGACGTGTGCCCCAAGACTGGTCCCACACATCAGTAGACCCATTCATAAGTGCACCCATGTCACCAGTGGATGACAATAAGCATTGGAAGCAGGTTACCTGTCTATCACAGGAGAATGGAGATGCGTATACACACACACACACACACACACACACACACACACACACAACTAGCAGTATATCCCTGGGTAAATACACATAAATAAGCTGTTACATGTTTATTGAAAGAAATGGTCTTCAGCCATGCTATGGGGCTAGGGGTCACTCAGAGCACCTGCCTAGCATGCACAAGGCCCAGGGCACAAAACGAAAACTGAAAATGTGTTCAGTATAGCTGTAGGCATCATAGGATATCCCTCAACAATTCTGAGTGAAGACCCAAGGAAAAGTACATTTAAAAAGTCACCCTCAAACCTCTTTTGACCTCAGGGTCCTCTGTGTTCTTAAAAATCAATGAGGATCCCAAATAGCTTTTGTTGGCTTATGTCAGTCAGTAAATAGACATCTGTCAATTAGCGGTTTTCACCTGATTTTTTTTGTCCCCCCCCAGGACTGGGAATTGAACCCAGGGGCACACACACTAGGGAGGCTGAGGCAGGAGGATTGCAAGTTCAAAGCCAGCCTCTGCAATTTAGTGAGACCCCCCCAAGCAACTTAGTGAGACTTTGTCTCTAAATAAAATATTAAAAAGGGCTAGACCTGCAGCTTAGTGGTTAAGTGCCTCTGGGTTCAATCCCTGGTAATAAAAAATTTAAAAAGGAAGGAGTAAAAATTAAAGAAATTAAAAATATATATTAATTCATTAAAATAATAACCCAATATAGGTTAACTTAAACCACTTTTTTTTTTTTTTTTTTTTTTTGGTACTGGGAACAGAACTCAAGGGTATTCAACCACTTAGCCACATCTCCAACCCTTTTTTTATTTTTTACTTTGTGACAGATTCTCATTAAGTTGTTTATAGAGTCTTGTTAAATTGCTGAGGCTGGCCTTGAATTTGCAATCTTCCTGCCTCATTCTCCCTAGCTTCTGGGATTACAGGCGTGTCCCACTGAGCTTGGCTCAGTGTTTTTATGAAAAGTTGACTGTTTTCCAAACAAAATGAGAAGTGAAACTTTTTGTTTTTATAAATCTCTTTAATGCCTGGCTTAGTAGAAGACAGCTAAATACTCGAGTCCACTTTTGTATTCAATTTGTTGCAATGTATGGTTTGGATGGAAGTCTGGCCTGACACGGATATGTAGTTGGAAGAGGGAGCAGGTTTTTAACAGATTTTTCATGTCATTTAGGGTATTCTCTGACACTGCACCAGAACTCACCAAGTGGTGGTTTCAGACAGGTTAGTTACAGTGTGGAGTCTCCTCTGTGGCACTGAGTCCATCCGTCTTCCCTGCACTTTGAGAAGCTCCTTCTCCCAGGGATTATTTTGTAACACCATGCATTAGTCATTTAGAAAACATTGATTTGGGCTGGGCACAATGGTGCACACCTATAATCCCAGCTACTCAGGAGGCTGTGGCAGGAGGATCACGAGTTTGAGGCCAGCTGGGCAATTCAGTGAGACCCTGTCTCAAAATTTTTAAAAATATATATTTTTGTTGTTGTTAATTTGCCGCAGTCTGGCTGGGCACAAATAACCGGGAGCTCACGAGCCACTTGTAGGTTCAAACAGGAACTACTTTATTGCCTGAACCCAACGGGAACTCTCTGGAACTCTGCGAGAACTCAAAAGTAGCAGGCACCGCCTTATTGCCGGACAGCAGAGGTTTACATACACAACTGAATACACAGCTTGCCTCAATTCAGCATCATCCAGTTACAGCAATCAGTCATTATCTTAATAATTATACACAACCCAACTCAATTATCATCATCTTAATGGCTCGCTGGCGTTACTTCTCAACCACTCCTTCCGGCAAAATGCCAGGCACCATCCTGAATTGGCTGTGGCTCTCAACATTAAAGGGCTGAGGACATAGTTCAGTGGTAGAGTACCCCTGGGTATAATCCCCAGTACATTTGGGGCTATCCATGTAAGTGTTGTGGAGAATACAGGTTTAGTATGCACAATTCCCAGCACCAAAAAAGGAAAAAGTACTGATTGATTGAGCTGTGCAGTTTTCCCAGCGTGCAGTGGGAACCTTACTCCTATGAGAACAAACAGGGCCTAATTGCATCACTGGTTTGACTGTGAAAATAGCTTTGCCCACTCATTTCCCTGAAAGGGTCTCAGGAGTGACCTCAGGGTGTTTCTATACTACACTTAAAACCTATATGTTAATCCTTCCATATAATTTAAAATATGCAAAGTTAGCGGCATGATGTTTGAGATGCACAGAAACATACAGGAAGGACAGGGAAAGGCAGCCTGCTCAGACAGTGGGCCTCCCAGGGCCACGTTTTTTTGTTTTGCTTAGGTCTTCTATTCTTATTTTTACTACATGGTCTGTACACAATTGTGTGTGTGCGCGTGTGGTGTGTTGGGTGACCTTCTAGGAGATGATCTTGGGCTGTAAAGCTCTTCCTTCCTTCCCTGGAGGGGTGTGGCAGCCAGAAGGACTGCCTCCGCACGTCACCCCCAGCTCTAGAACCCAAGGCAGAGGGGCTCGGTGGAGGTGAGAAGGGAAGGGTCTTGCGGTGGGGAAGAGGTTGTCCTGGCCACCCCAGCGAGGCCAGTGTCAGCTTCAGGGTCCTTTTCAGGAGAGGCAGAGGAGGGACGGGGATTGGGCCACAGCTGAGGAGGCCGGACAGGCAGGGAACGCGGCCTCTGGCAGCCTTCCTGCCTCCCCACAGCCTCCAGGATGAGCTGGCCCTGCTCACTCACAGGGGCTTCCGACCTCCAGAGCCACAGGCCTTGAGTGTGCAGTTTAATCCCTGCTTCTCTGGTGACTGACCTTGACAATGGGAAGCTGTGTGTGTTTGTAAAGGACACACCGGGTGCCTGTGCAGGGCTGGGAAAGGTGACGTATCTATGGTCCTGCAGTGGTGGCCCAGGAAGCCACTGAGTTCTCAGGCACAGTCCCTGGGGATGTGGGTGTGTCCCATCAAGGGCAGCTGAGGGCCTGTGGAGCCTTCTGGGGATGGCACCAGGACACTCCCTGCAGAGCCCCCTCTCCGGCCTGCAGGGTGGATGTGGCTCCTCACTGCCATCACCCCTCCTACCTGCCTGTCAGGGTTTGGTGAACCAGATGAGGACCTCCAGCAAGCAGTGGCTGCCAGGTGTCCCCTCCTTAGCCTCTGGGCCTCAGGACCCTGAAGGAAGAGGAAGGCTCAAATTGTTTCTTTCTGCCTTGACCATCAGTGGGTCCTAGAAACCATGTGCCTAAGTTGGGCCGTGTGAGTCAATTCTGTGTGGACCTTTCGGTTTAAGACCAAAACGAGAGGAAGACATTTGGGGAGTTGACAACAGCTTCCAGAAGTCAGAAAGGAATCCGAGGCCATGAGCTGTGGCAGGAGGATAGGTTAGAACCAGTTTAAAACAGTATTGGCTGAGTGGGCGCAGGGGCACACATCTGTAACCCAGGAAATTGGGAAGCCCAGGCAGGAGGATCAAAGGTTTGAGGCTAGCCTCGGCAACTCAGCAAGGCCCTAAGCAACTTAGCAAGATACGGTCTCAAAAAATAAAAAGGGTTGGGGTTGTGGCTCAGTGGTTAAGCACACCTGGGTTCAATTCACAGTACCAAAAAATAACCATAATAACAATAGTAATAACACTACTCCCAGATGAGGAGTAATTAGTTCTACCCACAAAGGGCTGCTGGGCCTCTTGTGCTTTGAACATAGACGTCAACCAGAATCTCATCCCTTAGGTGTGGGACAGGGTGAAGGGAACAAGATGAATGACTGCAGCAAGAACATTCTAGAAGCTTTTAGTGGGATTTGTTTTCACCAGCCCTGTAGCCACAGCAGCTCTGCACACAGTGCAGCGGGTCTGGCCGTCCAGGCCGAGGCCAACCAGGTCCTCCCGAGGCCCTGCCCTGAGAGTGAAGGGAAAGTCCGTGGTTACGTGTGTGAGCGCAGTTGCAGTCGGGCTGCTGGTTGCTGAGAGAGACTTGGTTAGCTCAGGTGGTGACGGGTTTGAATGACCTTCAGGAGAGTCCATGAAGAACACAGAAGGGGACACAGACCGGACCCCTGAAGTTGGAGCGTCACAGGGGGAAGGCCCCTCACACCCCTCTTTGCCCTGTAGGGTGCTAAGTACGGCCCAGTCAGCAGGCAGCCGAAGAAGTCAGGAATCGCCAGAGTCACCTTCGACCTGTACAAGCTGAACCCCAAGGACTTCCTGGGCTGCCTCAACGTGAAGGCCACCATGTATGAGATGTACTCGGTGTCCTACGACATCCGCTGCACAGGACTCAAAGCCACGCTGAGGTAGGATGGGTTGACGGGGTCGACCTCGGGAGTCTGCACAGACCTGGGATCCCTGGGGGCCCATCCTTGCCTGCCTCTCTGTGCTCTGCCTGCTGGCCCTCTGCTGTCCCAGGTGTCCCCCAGCCTGCTCCTCTGTGCTCTGTCCTGCTGTCCCAGGTGCTCCCCTGCCCTCGGTCCATTTGGAGCACATTTACATCCAAGCCAGACTTGCTTCACAAAACACAAAATCAATCCAGAACAGATTTTTCTCCCTCCAAAGACCATTAACCCACGTGCCCCATCATCCTATATGGGGGACACCTGGAAATCTATAGAATTTTGTAGAACACCTACAATGCCACTGTTCCTGTTGCTTTTGCACCTGAGACAAGGCGGCTCATCCTCAGGGAGCCCCTGACAGGGAGGCTGCTCACTGCCTGGTGACTGGGAAGTTGCCGCAGCCCGGCTGGCTGCAGAATAATCAGGGGGGGTGATGAACAACTTGTGTACGTTGATACAGCAGGAGTGGGAGCCGTTTATTGCAGGACAGGAGCAGTATTTATACATTCCACACAGCTTATCTAATTAGCATAAACTAGATACATCAGTCAACCAATAAGGAATCTCCACACTTAATGGCTCGCTTTTGTTACTTCTCAAACCACTCCCTCTGGCATTTTGCCAGGCACCATCCAGACTTGTTTAGGAACTTTAACATTCCCCTGGCAAAATGCCAGGTGTTATTTTGACTTGTTTACGGACTCTAACAGGAAGTAAGGACTGGGAGAGGTGCCCTGAGGGGCACTCCAGTGACCTCACCTCCTCCACCCTGCCTCCCATGGGTTCCTCAATAGCATCGTAGGGGAATCATGCCTTTAGCATGTGGGCTTCAGGGGACCCTCATCCAAACTGTATTGTGTGTGTTCAGAGGGAGCCTCAGAGTGGGTCCTGGAATGAGAGGGACATCTATAATACCTCCTGAGTAAGCAGCTTTGTGACTTTTCACAGGTTACTTAACTTCTCTGAGCTTCCACCTCATCATCTTTAAAATGAGAAGTTCTTTAGGATCACACAGGCTCAAGTGCAGCCACCTGTGCTCTTGTAGAAATACACCATGATCTCGTGAAAAACTGAGTCCTGGCCAGGTGCTGAAGCCTGTCATCCCAGTGACTGGAGAGGCTGAGGCAGGAGGATCACGCGTTCAAGGCCAGCCTTTGCAACTTAGTGAGGCCCTATCTAAAAAATAAAATATTAAAAGGGCTGGGGATGTAGCTCAGTGGTGGAGCACCCCTGAGCTCAACCCCAGTACCACAGAAGAAAAAGAACAAAGGAAGAAAGAAAATAGAAACCTCCATCACAGCTCAGCCTGTGGAGGGTGAGCCGGGGGAGGCTGAGCAGTGGCTGAAGGTCTGGGGGGTCGGAGTCTCTGCTAGCCTTCCCTGCTCTCTGCACTCCCGGGGCAGGCCTGCTGTGGCCCTCTGAGGACCCAGGTTCCCTCTCTGTGCTGTTGCCGCAGGATGGCTCTGATCTGCCTTGAGCACTGGGCCAGGAGAGGGGCTTGAGACTCCACCTGCTCCCCCCACCCTGGCCCCTGCGTGAGGCTCCCTGTAGCCATAGCCCCCAGAACCATCAGCGGCTGACCCCCAGGCTGTCCCTCGGTAGTGGTGAGATCTTGGCTCCCAGGAGAGATGGGAGCAAGTGGGTGTTTGGATTTTTAGGGTGGGAGAATTACAACAACTTGGAAAACATGATGGAGAAAATGAGCCTCACCCAAACCCCACCTTGAGTGACAAATTCATCTCCTTCTTGCTTTTTTTTTCCCCTTTTATAACTGGGGCACTCTACCATTGAGTGACACTTCCAGCCCTTTTTATTTTATTTTGAGACAGTCTCACAAATTTGCTGAGGCTGGCCTTGAACTTGCCATCCTCGTCCTCAGCCTCCTGAGTCACTGGGATCACCGGCGTGGCCACCACATTCTCCTCTATGGTAATTCTTGTCTTCTGATAGCTTTTAGGGCACCACAAGCAGCCACAACTCACCAAAGCCTTCATGTCAGAGGCATCACCTCCCAGGGGTAGTGGGCTCTCCTAGCTCAGGTTTGGGGGACCAATTCCCAGGGGACAGATTCAGCCATGGCCAACCTGCTGCCATTTTGTGAGGTGATTAAAGAATTTTAAAAACTGGATAAAGCCCTTTCTAGTTTGGGACCAGGCAGAGAATAGGAACTCCACTTATGTTTTTTCTTTCCTTCTTTCTCTCTTTCTCTTTCTCTTTTTCTCTCTTTCTTTCTTTCTCTTTCTCTCTCCTTCCTTCCTTCCTTCCTTCCTTCCCTCCTTCCCTCCCTCCCTCCCTCCCTCCCTCCCTCCCTCCCTTAGAAGCCAGGGCAGGGCCATGTCTGTCCTCCCAGTAGCTATGGGACAGCCTGTATAGATGAGTTGTGGCAGGTCCTAGCCCACTCAAGCCCACACAAATCCCGTGTCCTGAGGCTCCCTCTTCCTTCCCCTACACCTGACCCGAGGGAGTTCAGCAAGGCCCCACCTCCTCCACGGCTGCTGGGACAGCCTGGGAGCCTGGAAGTGGCCACTGGCCAGCAGTGCTGTTAGGTCCTCAGGGGAGGCCCCACGCCCGACGCGTTGCATCTTGCTTTGTTGCAGGAGTCTTCTGCGGTTCCTGTCCTACACCTCCCAGGTGATGGGACAGTTCCTCGTCTACGCAGGCACTTACATGCTCCGAGTCCTGGGAGACACAGAAGAGCAGCCTTCTCCTAAGTCACCCACCAGGGGCTGGTTCATGAACAGATAGACATGGCCGCTGGGGCCCGGCCAGCCTCTGGACCCAAACATGCCCTTCCAATGACAAACTTTCCAAGATGCTCTTGTGTTATTCGCCACATGTGCCTGTGTTGCTGGCCACTGCTGCTTGGGAGTGACACAGGGAAAGGGAAAGCTCAACACACCTGGTCTGGGGTGTGCAGCAGGACACCCTGGATGGAGGAGGCAGGAGAGGGGCCCCGTGGCCCAGGAAGGGACCAGGGGGGTGTCTGGGAGCACGTGTGTGCAGCAGACCCCTGGGGGCTCGCCTGCTGCAGTAAACCCATCACACACAGACATTCAGTATGTGGAGTGGTTGCTAAAAGTCCCCGGGGGAGTGAACGGCCAGGGCCTCAGGCAGAGGGGCTGCTCTTAGTCTCTGGATACGAGGTGCTAGGAGTTGTCAGATGTGTGGGGTTGGGGTTTGTCTTTTTCCTTAGAGGTGGGTCTTCAGTGAGCCCCGGCAGTTGGGGGAGGGGGTTCAAAGCTTGAGGCTCTGACTGGAGGCCTTTAAGCAGCACTTCCAGAAACAAAGGAAACTCAGAAACAAACAAAACTGCTGGACACCTACCCTGGGTGCCTGGCGCTGTGCTGTTCCGGGGCAGGACACTTGGTGGCCAGGCAACGCTCTGCCTCGTGCTGCCCAGGGCCAGGGAGCAGCACAGCTGGACATAGGCACTGGAGGACCTTGTGGGGATCAGCTCTCCCTCCCCTGGTCCCTCTTTCCTTCCGGTTGGCTCCATCTTCTGGTGCACTTTCCTCCGTGGAAGCTGGATGTCGATGGGGCCCTGCCCAGGAAGCTCCAGGCTGCACCTCACCCCACCTGGCAATCCTAGCAGAAGGAAATGGGGTGCTATTCTTGGAAAAAAGGGTCACAGATCTCTGGAGACAAATCTATGCCTATTAAGGTTTGTGGAGTTGGGTGCAAAGGTGCATGCCTGTACTCCCAGGTGCTTGGGAGGGGCCGAAGCAGAAGGATCTCAAGTTCAAGGCTTCCTGGGCCACTTAGTGAACCCTTGTCTCAAAATAAAAACTAAAAAGGGCTGGGGTATAGCTCAGTGCAGAGCACCTCTGGGTTAGATTTGTGAGGGGGAGATCTGTGACTTTCCTATAAAGAAAAGTCCCAAGGCCATTTTCCTTTCCTGGCTGCCAGCTTTGGCACAATGAACACCACCAAAGGTGCCTGAAACCCAAGAAGCAAAGAGCCCCATCCCCACCGTCCCTGCTGCCCAGACTTCCTGCCTCCCGCCCCCTGCACCTGCACTGTGTCCTTGGAGAAGCAGCCAGGAACCCACAGGGGGGTCCAGGGGGCTTCCTCCTCATCCTCCTGGAGGGGCAGCCCAGCCCCCACTTCCTGTGTCCTGCTGGAGGCCGTGGGAGGGCAGGTGTTGCAGATGCAATCCCTGTGCTGTCCCCTTTCAAACCTATAAAGAGCAGCTCATTGAGCCTCCCTAGGTGGCCCTGTGTCGTCCCTGAGCAGAGACAGGAGCCCCTGCCTGTGTGTGACGGGGAGTTGAGGAGGAGGGCTTTCTGCCCTGCCCCTCCGGCTCTCGCTGGCGTCACTTCCCAAAGATTCCGCCCTCCTGAGAAGTGACTGCCTGCTTTCCAAAAAAGGAGCTTTCCTCCAGTGCCTGATCCTGAGCCAGCCCCGCTCCTCTGACCTGGGCCTTCCTGTTCCTCCCTGAGTCCCCACAGCGGGGAAGCCAGGGGCTGGGCGAAGGCAGGAGAGAAGGAGCTGGGGGATCTGGGGACCCTTGTGCTGCTGGGGCTTCTGAGGAGCCACAGCCTGCCTTCCTCTGGCTGCAGAGGCTGTGGTTTCCTGGGATGACCCAGATGAGCCACAGAGGCTGCAGACCAGAGGGGAAGCTGGGGGCCTCCAGGCATGTCCCCACCATGTGATCAGCAGGACAGATTCAAGGAGCTTTCTGCCCAAGCAGAGCACACCAGGGAGGCAGAGTGAACTGGTCTAGAAGCTGTCACCTGGTCAAAGCCAGGCTCTGGAGCAAATGGCCCTGCTGCAGAGTGTGGTCCCTGCCCAAGTCTCTCTCAGGTCTGTACAACTAGGGTGAGATCAGAGGACCCAGAGTGCTGGATACAGAACGGTAGAGTATGAGTGTGGCCCCTGGCCAGCCGAGCCCTCTTGGTCAACCCAGTTCTGTGCTTTACTGGCCCTACAGGAGGCGTCTGTCCCCACCAGGCCACCTCAGGGACACCCTATGGCCTTTCCAGAGCTGGGATTCTGTTTCCTGTAAGTTCTTCCTCCTCACGCAGCCAGACCTGTCCTCTCTTCCCTCCAGAGCTGCCGCTGTAGGGGTCCGGCCTGGCCCTGGGGACACTGGTCCTCCGTGTGAGCTCTCCCAGGGTCCAGCACACCTGGAATCTGCTTGTACTGTGGGGGCTGTACCCACGCAGGGGCCTCCCATCTGGCTCTGCTCATCTCGTGTCACTAAACCGCACGGAGAGAAAACTCTGGCAGCATCCCTCTCCTTTCTGTCACCCCCTCTGGGACCCCCCCTTGCCTGCCAGTTCCCTTCAGCTCTTTGCGCTGGTTCTGTCTTTGGAACCACCCTCAGATGCACACATGCACACACCCTGGGACCAGGAAGACACTGCTCAGTGTCCCTCCCTCCTAAGGCCTTCCAGCTTATGCAGCCAAGTTGAGCCTCAGTCCCTGCGCTGTGGTAATGTGTGCGGGACAGCCGAGGTCCAGCTGCAGGTCTGATTGGCAGGGCACAGCTTTACATGCCAGGTTCTCTGCACTGAGTGGTCTCCCTGCCTCACACCCTGGGACCTCTCAGGCCAGCATTCTGGGGGCTCAAGTACAGAGGCTCTGGGGGACACTGTTTGACCCTCAGGACTCCCCTTTGTACCCCTGACCATGTGCTTTGGAGGCCAGTCTGTGAGGGTCCCTGCCACATCCTCCTCACCCCACGGGGTCAGAGTCAGGTCCTCCCTGTTCTGCCAGAGGGACACATCCAGGCACAAGGCCCTGTGCTATTGATATGATAAGAAATGCATATCTGATCTCTGCCCTGTCCTGACCCAGAGCTCCTGACCCTTATGGGCAGTGGCTCTAGGAGAATCTTTTGCACTGGTGTTTGGCTTTGGCCTAGGCTCCTGAAACAGCTTGGGCTTCCCTGGGTGATAGGAGCATCTTCTGTTCTAGAGGGGACGCTAAGTGGCTCTGTGACAGCCTCAGGGTGGGGCTCAGCCCACCATCTGATGAGAGGGTGGGGTGCTTAGCCCTGCCCCCAGCCCCAGGAAGAGGAGGGGGCTGAAGGGTGAGTTCACCCCTCTGGCCAGTGAGGGATAAACCAGGCCTAAGTAGAGAAGCCCCCCAAACCCCAGAAGCACAGGGCCTGGTGGCACCTAGGCTGGCTCCTAGCTTGGTTAGTTGTGAGCTGTGCTGCCCTGGATGTGGACATGGCTGTGTCCCTGTAGCACAGCGACTTTAACTCTTCAGGATAAAACAGAGCAGCATAGGCTGGCCGCGTCCTCTTCCTTCCATGTTTGTCCTCTCCTGCCCCAGCCTACTAGACAGTACCACCCACATCCAGAGCAGGTCTCCCCACTCAGTTTTCTGTCCCACATGCCTATCGCCTCTGGAAACACCCTACGCACACCCCAGAAGTGTGTGGCACTAACTTTCTGGGCAGCTCTCAGTCCAACGAGTCAGCAATCAAGAGTCACCATCACACATGCCTAGGCACAGTATTCAGGTTTTGTTTTTGTTTTTTGTTTTTGGCCACTGGGGATTGAACCCAGGGGTGCTTAACCACTGAGCCACATCCCCAGCCCTTTTTGTATTTTATTTAGAGACACGACCTCACTGAGTTGTTTAGAGCCTCACTAATTTGCTGAGGCTGGCTTTGAACTTATGATCCTTCTGCCTCAGTCTCTAGAGCCACTGGGATCACAGGCCTGTGCCACCATGCCCAGAGGCTCAATATTTAATCAAACATCAGCATCAGTGTGGCTGAGAAGGTGTCCTTTGGATGTGATTAACACCTAGTCAGTGGACTCTGAGTGAAGTAGGTGGCTCTCCAGGGTACGGCTGGGTCTCATCCAATCAACTGAAGGTCTTAAGAGAGAAGACTCACCTCCCCACAGAGAAATCCCACCAGAAGACAGCCTGCAGGCCTGAGCTGCAGCCTCAGCACTTCCCTGGTCCCCGACCTGCTGGCCAGCCCTGCAGACTTCAGACTGCAGCTTTCATGTTACAGACGATTTCTTCATGTACCCTCCATGTGCACCCCTGAGTTCTGCTGGCCGGAGAACCCGTCTGATCCATGCTGTGCCAGGCATGGACATCGAGACGCCTCCACAGTCAGCTGCACCTGAGCTCCCCAGTCTTCAAGGGGGGGTTCTGGGACCCTGCACCCAACCCCGTCTCAGGACCAGGAGCTGACTCTTCCAAAGCCACTCCATCTTTGCTGAGGGGACTCAGGCACTCCCTCCTCCGGCAGCCCTTCCCAGCTTAGCACCCAGCCAGGGGAGCTGATGGGAACCAGGACACCAGGAAGCCTGGGCTGGCAGCAGGAAGCCTGTGCCCACCACACAGAGGCTGTGGCCTCGCAGTGCTAGCCCTGGGCTATGCTGTAGATTGGCTCTGGACTGTCCCTGAAAGGCAAGAGTCTTGAAGAAGCTCAGAGGTGGGCTTGTGGAGGGGGACAGGGAGGAGTGGAAACTGTCTGCAGGAGGTGGGGCCAGAGAGAGGACCTCTGCTGGGGTTTGGCCTAGAAGGGTGTCTTGTGCTTGGCACCCCCCCCCCCAACCTCACCTTCCTGGCCACCAGGAACAGGAAGGACCCTCCACTCCACGGGCTCCATGCTGAGACCTGCTGCCTCACCACAGGCCCAGAGCAACAGGGCCAAGCAACCACAGACCAAAGCCTCCCAAACCATAAGCCAAGGTAAATCTCCCCCCTTTAAGTGGATTTTCTCAGGTTTTTTTTGTCATAGTGACTGAAAGCTAACTAATACCGCTTCTGGT